GATCGGTAGGATAGTCAGTTTTACGAGGGCATGTTTGGCAGCATTAGTGAAGGAGGCTTTGTTGCGAAATAGGAAGCCGATTCTAGATTTATCTTTGGATTGGAGATGCTTAATGTGAGTCTGGAAGGAGAGTTTACAGTCTAGCCAGACACCTAGGTATTTGTAGTTGTCCACATACTCTAGGTCAAACCCTCCGAGAGTAGTGATTCTAGTCGGGTGGGCGGGTGCCAGCAGTGTTCGATTGAAGAGCATGCATTTAGTTTTACTAGTATTTAAGAGCAGTTGGAGGCTACGGAAGGAGTGTTGTATGGCATTGAAGCTCGTTTGGAGGTTTGTTAACACAGTGTCCAATTAAGGGCCAGATGTATACAAAATGGTGTCGTCTGCGTAGAGGTGGATCTGAGAGTCACCAGCAGCAAGAGCGACATCATTGATATACACAGAGAAAAGAGTCGGCCCGAGAATTGAACCCTAATGGCACCCCCATAGAGACTGCCAGAGGTCCAGACAACAGGCCCTCCGATTTGACACATTGAACTCTATCTGAGAAGTAGTTGGTGAACCAGGCGAGGCCGCTAGCACACGCAATCAATCAGCCATGTTTCCATTCGGTTGGGGCTTGCTAGTTGCGATCCGGTGTTAAGGTCCAGTGATTCACTTATTCCGGCAGAAAATCCGATGTTCTGGGTGAAAACCGCTAACGGTGGCTAATAGCAAGTATATAAAAAGTTATAAAAAGGTGTCAAACTGTCTGCGTCTTTGTCCCATCTCTTTCTCTCGTAATGTAAGTGTTATTTTCCCTCTAGGCCCGACAGAGATCCAGGATCATGGAGAACCTGGTGTTGAATAACAAAAAGGCCTGGTTTGTCGTCAACCATAAACTGCTACTGCTCCAATACAAGTATGAGGTGAGACGGTGAACTGATGTTGAACTGGGCAGTTCTGACTGCCCAATCTATCATTGTTGGAATTGAAAAAGCCTCTGTTATAGCTGAAGTCTTTAACTCCATTCCCAGACTGGTGTTTTGAGGATTTTTCTGGGCTACCTGGCTCAGGACAGGGAGAGGCCACTACTTATACAGGTGAGTGTACAACGAAGTCTTTAGTGTTGTGATGATATATGTGCATTTATGACAATGTTGTTGATTGTGTGTGTGACTTTGCGTGCGTGTGTCCAGGTGCTGCGGTCGCTGTGCCACCCCTGGGCCAACACTCTGTGGGACTACTGAGTGATGCAGAGCTATAGGAGCTACGCTCAGGAACACCCCCAACACTACGGCATAGTATTGTGTCACACGATCAGAGCTGTTCACACTACTTTCTGACCTGTCTGCCTCTGGGTTGTATTAATTTGTGAAATGAAAAACATTTTTCCTAGGAAAACGACTGAGCGTTTTGTTGTGGGAATTGTCCATGTAGTCCCACCTTGTTGAAGACTTTTGTAAATATGAAATATCAAAACCGAATGGAAACCCCTTTGTTAATACTGTATGTATTGGCAATAATTCACTTAATGGTGAAGCATGGCATAATAAAAAACAAAAAAAAATTGTCACATTTCCACAAACTGAAGTCGTAGACCTGCCGGATGTTTGAAATATGAGTAGGTGATTTGAGTCATGCTTCAGTAGTGGAATAAAGACAATTAGCACTTGAATTTTGTAAATAAATTCTGTGTAAATACTGGAGTGATATAATTGTTCATATAATTGTTCATAGACCAATTATTTGATACTGTGTCTGTAACACATGGGGATGTGTGAAACCGAACGTAGAGGGAAGTCGGGCATAGTCGTCTTTTCAACGTCTTTTCAACAACATTTTGCTAGGTGGGCTTTAGCATTTTAGCTAATTAGCAATTTTTCAACTACTTACTACTTTTTAGCTACTTTGCAACTACTTAGCATGTTAGCTAACCCTAACCTTTACCCTTTAACCTAACTCCTAACCTTAACCTTAATTCCTAATCCCTAGCCTAGCTAATGTTAGCTAGCTAGCTAACATTAACGTTAGCCACCTAGCTAACGTTAGCCACAACAAATTGGAATTTGTAAGATATCATACATTGAGGGAATTAAGTATTTGATCCCCTGCTGATTTTGTACGTTTGCCCACTGACAAAGACATGATCAGTCTATAATTTTAATGGTATGTTTATTTGAACAGTGAGAGACAGAATAACAACAACAAAATCCAGAAAAATGCATGTCAAAAATTTTATAAATTGATTTGCATTTTAATGAGGGAAATAAGTATTTGACCCCTCTGCAAAACATGACTTAGTACTTGGTGGCAAAACCCTTGTTGGCAATCACAGAGGTCAGACGTTTCTTGTAGTTGGCCACCAGGTTTGCACACATCTCAGGAGGGATTTTGTCCCACTCCTCTTTGCAGATCTTCTCCAAGTCATTAAGGTTTCGAGGCTGACGTTTGGAAACTCGAACCTTCAGCTCCCTCCACAGATTTTCTATGGGATTAAGGTCTGGAGACTGGCTAGGCCACTCCAGGACCTTAATGTGCTTCTTCTTGAGCCACTCCTTTGGGTCATTGTCATGCTGGAATACCCATCCACGACCCATTTTCAATGCCCTGGCTGAGGGAAGGAGGTTCTCACCCAAGATTTGACAGAACATGGCCCCATCCATCGTCCCTTTGATGCGGTGAAGTTGTCCTGTCCCCTTAGCAGAAAAACACAGCCAAAGCATAATGTTTCCACCTCCATGTTTGACAGTGGGGATGGTGTTCTTGGGGTCATAGGCAGCATTCCTCCTTCTCCAAACACGGTGAGTTGAGTTGATGTCAAAGACCTCGATTTTGGTCTCATATGACCACAACACTTTCACCCAGTTCTCCTCTGAATCATTCAGATGTTCATTGGCAAACTTCAGACGGGCCTGTATATGTGCTTTCTTGAGCAGGGGGACCTTGCGGGCGCTGCAGGATTTCAGTCCTTCACGGCGTAGTGTGTTACCAATTGTTTTCTTGGTGACTATGGTCCCAGCTGCCTTGAGATCGTTGACTAGATCATCCTGTGTAGTTCTGGGCTGATTCCTCACCGTTCTCATGATCATTGCAACTCCACGAGATGAGATCTTGCATGGAGCCCCAGGCTGAGGGAGATTGACAGGTCTTTTGTGTTTATTCCATTTGCGAATAATCGCACCAACTGTTGTCACCTTCTCACCAAGCTGCTTGGCGATGGTCTTGTAGCCCATTCCAGCCTTGTGTAGGTCTACAATCTTGTCCCTGACATCCTTGGAGAGCTCTTTGATCTTGGCCATGGTGGAGAGTTTGGAATCTGATTGATTGATTGCTTCTGTGGACAGGTGTATTTTATACAGGTAACAAACTGAGATTAGGAGCACTCCCTTTAAGAGTGTGCTCCTAATCTCAGCTCGTTACCTGTATTAAAGACACCTGGGAGCCAGAAATCTTTCTGATTGAGAGGGGGTCAAATACTTATTTCCCTCATTAAAATGCAAATCAATGTATAAAATTTTTGACATGCATTTTTCTGGATTTTGTTGTTGTTATTCTGTCTCTCACTGTTCAAATAAACCTACCATTAAAATTATAGACTGATCATGTCTTTGTCAGTGGGCAAATGTACAAAATCAGCAGGGGATGAAATACTTTTTTCCCACACTGTACAAATTTGTAACATACTGTACGTTTTGCAAATTCAGAACATATTGTACATTTTTCAAATTCGTAACATCTCATACGAATTGTAATTCGTAACATATCATACGAAATGGATGATGGACATCAACAAATGAATACATACCATAGGAAACGTAAGATATCATACTAAATGGAGATTCTCCGATTTATATACAGAATAATACAAAACGGCCGCAATTTATGGAAGATTCCAAAACTTTGGAGAGAACAATTAAGATACTGGTTTCCCCTATCCATCTGTGGCGACGTTTTCCCTACATGCTACATGTAGCAACAACATATAACAGTTAGCTAAATAAGGTTAGCATGCTAGCTAGCTACACTGACAGCTGTGAGTGCCCTACTTGTTGTTATTTCTCCACTACACATGGAAATCACCCTCAATGTTCACATCCCCAAATCGTGAATATGTATTAGCAGCCTACGTCATTCTTCAGAGGTGGAACCAAAAGGACCATTTCTGCTATAGGCCAGGAATTACGTCGAAATAGGGTGGCATTGCCCTCTGGTGGGGGCCTTTAAACTATAAACTCTAATCCTCCAGATGTTTATTTACATAATTGTGCATGTGTCATCTTGGTGCTGCAATACAGTCAAAACACAATTGTTAAACACTTGTTTTCAGTTTAGAACAATTTCTGAATGGGACGTTGCAGTCTTTATAATATTTAGCCTACATTGCGCAGTCGCCCAGAGTTGCCTTCCGCTAGACTTGGATAACATGATTGAGTGGGATCTTTTTTATCCAACCTTTGCGAAATCGACAATGAAAAACGCATATTGTAATTGCATGGATGATTGTAAAATAGTAGTCTCCCAGTCACAATAATGCCACAATAATGATTTTGATAGTTCCAGCTATCTCATTCCACCATATAGGTAGGGAGGGGGGTGTTTCTCTTTCATTTTGCGGTATTCCTACTGTATGCGGGGCTCTTTTGTTAGGGAGGGCGGGCCGCAGGAGCACAATGACTTTTCAGATAGTAAACCAGAAATGCGATGAGGACTGACCAGAGCAAAATAATGGCATGCGACTGCCTCAAGAGCGGGATATCCAGCATTTCCACAAACTGAAGTCGTAGACCTGCCGGAGTATTTTGGAGAAATTGCAGAGGTCCTGCGTCTGTTTGAGCAACCAAACGTAATAGCCAAAGTAACGGGGGATCCAGGCGCAAGGGCGAGGCGAAGACATAGGATAGCATCGTCATCAGATGCGCAAACCGGTGGGGCAGGTTCCAGAAAAGCAGTGGCAAAGGACGGCTATTTAGGACTTTTTACGCATTCACGCTTCCCCACTCCGGGAAACGGAATTTAAAATGATGTCACTTATAGAGTTGAACGATGACCAGAGATGGGTGCCAACACATGTGAATGTAAATGTCCTTCGTGCAAGGGGTTTGCGGACGAAGGGCAAGCATGGGAGCCGTTATGTTTACACCATCATTCAGGTTGGGAAGGAGAAATACACCACCGGTTTGGTCGAAAAGGCGACTGTGCCAGAGTGGAATGAGGAATGTTGTTTCGAACTTCTCCCCGGAATACTGGAGGCTGGGGGTCGCAGTGCTTTTCCCTCAGGGAGCGGTGACTTGGTCCTCACCGTCATGCACCGGGTGCTTATCGGACTTGACGTGTTTCTTGGTCAAGCAATCATCCCTCTGGATAAAATATTTCAAGATGGAATGTGTCCTAGAGATGAGTAGGTTCCTTTCACTTACTCATTTAATATGCTAGTGTTGAGGAACTTATTTCCACTGATTAGGCTACATTGACATGCAGGCCTAGGCTAAATTATCATATCACACAAATTATAGCCTTTTATGGCCATTAATTTGACGTGATTGAAGTAACATTTGTAGGCCCAACTGTGGTATGTTGGTAGGGTGGGGAATTCACACAAGTATGAGAAGAACGGGGCGTTTATTTATGGTGAAGATCAGTGGCCCACACAAGATCAGTGGCCCCCCTGGACTACTGGTGCATAGTTGAACTACACTGAACAAAAATAAAAGGCAACATGTAAAGTGTTGGTCCCATGTTTCATAAAACATATTTCTCTAAAATTTTGTGCACTAATTTGTTTACATCCCTATTAATTAGCATGTCTCATTTGCCAAGATAATTCATCCACATGACAGGTGTAGCATATCAAGAAGCTGATTAAACAGTGTGACAATAAAAGGCCACTTTAAAATGTGCAGTTTTGTCACACAACACAATGCCACAGATGTCTCAAGTTTTGAGGGAGCATGCAACGAAAACAGGTCCCCTAAATGGACATAAATATTGTCCAGAAATGTCGTCATTGGACAGAAAGGGGCACACCTCCCCACATCCAAGAGCAAAAGCATATAGAATTTCACCATGTCTGTACTTAAAGGGTAAATCCATTTTAATTTAATCACTTTTTGACAGCCTCCCTTTTGATTTAAAGCTGCAATATGTAACTTTTTGGGTGACCTGACCAAATTCACATAGAAATGTGAGTTATAGATCTGTCATTCTCATTGACCCCAAGTCTAAGAAGTGGTAGATCTGTTCTATGTGCGCTATTTCCATGCTTTCCGTTCTTAAGTTTAGTTTTTGTGTCTTTTACTTTCGGTTTTGTACACAAGCTTCAAACAACTGAACATACAATATTTAGATGGTACAATGATTCTCTACACTATGCATTGCTTGTTTTGTCACACACTGAAATTAGGCGAACTATTAGAATTTTAGCAACCAGGAAATGGCAAGTGTTTTCTGCATATTGCACCTTTAAACAAAACTTTCAATACATGTTTGCCCATGGTCAGAAAGTGACCTTTTGGAGATAAAGATGATCATACCCCACCATCAATGTTCCCTCTAATTATTTTCGTCAGTGAGCAAATTTCAGGTCTGCTGAGTGCAAACATTGTGAAAATTCTGTGAAACTTCCAGCGTGCGTTTACTGTGAACACTGAGGCTGTACCCACTTTAAGTTACAGTTTTAACAGTGGCCAAGTAGGCTACTGTGGCTATTTGATCATAATGTAGGCCTACCAGAGTGGCCTACCATAAAAAACAATGAAGAAAATGCATCCCATAACATTTTAACATGGAAATAGCTGTTGTATCATTCAGCCTACAGTAGCAGCCAATGTGTGGTGTTAAATGTTGACTTTTTTAAAAACATGCAGGGCTTGACATTAACCTGTTTATCCACTTGTCCTTCAGACAAGGAGGTGACTGAAAATGTTGTTCTGTTGTTTGATGCAAGAAACCACTTTACAAATTATGCTACCCTCTACTTATTGGCTACTTAGCTTATTCAAGCCTGTCTCAAAATACAACACTGCCCCTTTAAGACAAAAAGCTCCTTACCTGACTCGCTTTTCAAAGATGTCTAGAAATGTACACGTTTTGTGCTCTTGTAGAAAGCAATCACTCCCCTATTGCTGACCACAAATTATCTATAGCTGGGCTGATAACTCACTAACTAGCAAAGGATATGAACAAAATGTGCACACGTGGCTACATGCATACGTGGTCCTCTGTAGCTCAGCTGGTAGAGCACGGCGCTTGTAACGCCAGGGTAGTGGGTTTGATCCCCGGGACCACCCATACACAAAAAAAAATTATGCACGCATGACTGTAAGTCGCTTTGGATAAAAGCGTCTGCTAAATGGTATTATTATATGCAGCTCTCGCTTTGATCTCGAAACAAGCGCATCTACTCACGACCGCTCATGCTGTAAACACAGTCCAGTTAAATGTAAACGGCACAGATCCATATATGGCAATGGTCTATTTACATATAAGCCTACTGCAGCTCTGATTGTTTATGCTGCACCGGTCTGTGTAGAGTACGGGCTGAGTCGTGGTGCGTGTCAGTGCAATAGAATCCTAATCCGATGCCTTCTGCCTACTACAAAATCTCTTGCATAATTAGTTTTGTTTCGGTAGGTTGCATTGAAAGTGACCAATATTGCGTTGATTCGATTGTGTTGATTCGATCACAATTGCCACAGTAAAGGGAAATGTTGATAATGTTAACAGGGAAAACTCTAGAAATTGCAAGCCGAGATCTACCGCTCACATTTTTTTTAACATGACTTAAAAAGCGTAAGCCTATGCAACCTTAAGCAATTAAAAACAGTACTGTAGCAATGAGGTTTGTGCAGTAAGCTATAGGCCCAATACATTATCACTGCATATTGGTTTTGCTTGAATTGCCCTGCCAATGCATTGTTGTTTGGGCCATTAAAAAAAAACAATATTTCAACATTTGAGGCTATATGATCACACCGGTAATGTTGTATTACTTGTGAGGCACAGCTGAGCAAGCATACATTTAAATAATTTGCTTTTTACTTTTATTATACTGGGCTGATGGTGTCTGCATCTGATGGTCAGACTCAGTGAAGGGAGAGAGCAGCAGACTGAGGGTCCGCCTCTCAACATCCCTCCGCTCTCCCTTTCCTCCACTGACACTGACCAAAAAGCCACAGCAGGTTGGTGGCACCTTAATTGGGGAGGATGGGCTCATGGTAATGGCTGGAGCGGAATTGGTGGAATGGTATCAAATACATCAAACACATGGTTTCCATGTTGTTTGATGCCATTCCATTTGCTCCTTTATCGTTGTTTTTCTTTACAGAAATGTTTGCTGATCAACTACGAATGCTTTGGGGATCGACCAGTCGATCGTGATCGACCGGTTGGTGACCACTGCTCTAGACAATTTAGTGAAATTCAATCTTGTGCTTCTCACTGTGGGCTGATATTTGTTCTGCGCTAAGTCTCGGGGCTACTGTGCGCCCGCGCGCAGCTTAGAGGGAACATTCCCCACCATACCTTGAGACATCCATGTCTTTATCACTGGAAAAGATAAACGGTTGAATTTTATATCATTTAAATGCTTACAAATAGGGTTGTCAAACTATTTAATGAAAAATGTTTTGGTAATGAAATTGTTTACATTTTTAACCTTTAAAGTCAATTCATAGATATGTTTTCTTTTTTTATCCGGGCATACAGTGGGGAAAAAAAGTATTTAGTCAGCCACCAATTGTGCAAGTTCTCCCACTTAAAAAGATGAGAGAGGCCTGTAATTTTCATCATAGGTACACGTCAACTATGACAGACAAATGGATAATTTTTTTTCCAGAAAAATACATTGTAGGATTTTTAATGAATTTATTTGCAGATTATGGTGGAAAATAAGTATTTGGTCACCTACAAACAAGCAAGATTTCTGGCTCTCACAGACCTGTAACTTATTATTTAAGAGGCTCCTCTGTCCTCCACTCGTTACCTGTATTAATGGCACCTGTTTGAACTTGTTATCAGTATAAAAGACAACTGTCCACAACCTCAAACAGTCACACTCCAAACTCCACTATGGCCAAGACCAAAGAGCTGTCAAAGGACACCAGAAACAAAATTGTAGACCTGCACCAGGCTGGGAAGACTGAATCTGCAATAGGTAAGCAGCTTGGTTTGAAGAAATCAACTGTGGGAGCAATTATTAGGAAATGGAAGACATACAAGACCACTGATAATCTCCCTCGATCTGGGGCTCCACGCAAGATCTCACCCCGTGGGTCAAAATGATCACAAGAACGGTGAGCAAAAATCCCAGAACCACACGGGGGAACCTAGTGAATGACCTGCAGAGAGCTGGGACCAAAGTAACAAAGCCTACCATCAGTAACACACTACGCCGCCAGGGACTCAAATCCTGCAGTGCCAGACGTGTCCACCTGCTTAAGCCAGTACATGTCCAGGCCCGTCTGAAGTTTGCTAGAGTGCATTTGGATGATCCAGAAGAGGATTGGGAGAATGTCATATGGTCAGATGAAACCAAAATATAACTTTTTGGTAAAAACTCAACTCGTCGTGTTTGGAGGACAAAGAATGCTGAGTTGCATCCAAAGAACACCATACCTACTGTGAAGCATGGGGGTGGAAACATCATGCTTTGGGGCTGTTTTTCTGCAAAGGGAACAGGACGACTGATCCGTGTAAAGGAAAGAATGAATGGGGCCATGTATCGTGAGATTTTGAGTGAAAACCTCCTTCCATCAGCAAGGGCAATGAAGATGAAACGTGGCTGGGTCTTTCAGCATGACAATGATCCCAAACACACCGCCCGGGCAACGAAGGAGTGGCTTCGTAAGAAGCATTTCAAGGTCCTGGAGTGGCCTAGCCAGTCTCCAGATCTCAACCCCATAGAACATCTTTGGAGGGAGTTGAAAGTCCTTGTTGCCCAGCGACAGCCCTAAAACATCACTGCTCTAGAGGAGATCTGCATGGAGGAATGGGCCAAAATACCAGCAACAGTGTGTGAAAACCTTGTGAAGACTTACAGAAAACGTTTGACCTGTGTCATTGCCAACAAAGGGTATATAACAAAGTATTGAGAAACTTTTGTTATTGACCAAATACTTATTTTCCACCGTAATTTGCAAATAAATTCATAAAAAATCTTACAATGTGATTTTCTGGATTTCTTTTCTCATTTTGTCTGTCATAGTTGACGTGTACCTATGATGAAAATTACAGGCCTCTCTCATCTTTTTAAGTGGGAGAACTTGCACAATTGGTGGCTGACTAAATACTTTCCCCCCCCCACTGTATCGTTATATCCATACCTGAAACATCTGCCCTTCAGACTGCTATGCATGCTCCCAACATCTGCCACATTCTGAGACATGTAGCGGAAGTTACAGTAGAGGTCACAGGTGGAGATATTCAAAGGGGAATTTCGGTAGTATGCAAACAATGTCCATAGTCAACAGCTCTGAGTATAGTAGTAGAGAAAAGCAACACCACACATCTGGTTTGAATTGTGCGCCCACTGTTCTTCCAGCGCTCTGTATGCAGTGAAACTCCATTGGGTAGCAGCCGTTTGTTTTGGCTCCAGAATACATGGTTTCTGGTCCTCTCAGAAGGGGCTACGGAAGGGAAGCAGTGAAAGGATTTCCTAGGTGGATCCTTCAGCACGTCACAGACACCAGGTGTGGTGGGTGGGAGGACCCCCAGGAATGTGGATTTAATTCCCAGACGCTAAAGAAACAGTTTGTTGTCAAACGTGGAGAAACACGATGGTCAAATAAAATCTTAAATACCCTCCCCTCTTTCAATTGGCTACTGCCACATTACGCAATATTGGCTGCCAGGCAGAATAGTGAATGTTTTGTTATTTTCTTTCAGTGGTGTTTTTTGTTTTGTTTGTCTCCAATGTGGTCAGTTAAAGCATGTCCCTTTCGGTCTGTGCTTTGTGTTTAAATGTATCCCATTACAGTGAAAATATGCATTGAATGGTGTTTACGCTGTATGAAACAAATGGGAGGCCATCTGCGCTCTTTTATAGTCCTTAATATAAAATAATGTTGGTCACAGGTGCGCATGTGTGGAGCGCTGGAGATGTTTGACCCCTGACAGTCTTCTCTCTCTGTGGTTCCAGATGGCTCAAGCTCAACTCCAAGGCCGGTCGGAAGGAGAAGGAGCGTGGCGAGATGCAGGTGACTGTCCAGTTCACACGCAATAACATGACGGCCAGCATGTTCGACCTTACCATGAAGGACAAGCCGCGCTCTACCTTCGGCAAACTCAAGGACCGCGTGACGGGGAGGAAGAGGGGTGACGTGGAGTCCTCCTCGGCCATTGTGCCAGGACGCTTCGCCGCCCTGTCGAGTTCCCTGGGGCAGCCATTCGGGGAGGGGGGCGGAGGGGGAGGGGGAGAGGACCCCGGGGAGGTAGAGGTAGCCGAGGAGAAGCGGAGCAAGGTGAAGGATTTCTTCCTGGGGAAGGGAAAGCTGCGGAGGTCATCTGACACAAGGTCGTGCTCGTCGCTGGCCTCGGAGAACAGTGTGTCATCCGCGATCAGTGAGAGCCCCTGCCCCCCTCCTCTGGCCCTAGGCCTCCTGGTGGACCCCCCCAGCTCTCCCATCTACAGCAGCAAGGTCAAAGTAGACACCCACCACGGAGATACAGACCTAGTTAAAAAAGGTAACCCTGCAGATTTCATCTGTGTTATAGATGAGAGATTTGCTCTATTTTTGTCCAAGTGTTTCATTTTCTTTGGAAATTGCCCTAAATGTCTGAAATATGCACAGTAATTCATGAACTGTATTTAGATTTTATGCTGACAGAATGTTTACCAGACACGGAAAAAGCATTTACTATATCTCAAGGATATGGCATGCTTATGGATGTTAAGGAATTGTTTTGGAATATAGGTTATTATTAGGGCCTATCCGTTTCAGGCCAATACTTTGACCCCTTTCTTTCCCTCCAAACAGTGCTCACCAGCACACAGTCTTCCCCAAAGATATTGACCCACAAGCGAGCCTTCAGCGACGAGGCGAATAGGATCACCACTACTGCCATTCCCCGGCCCTGTCCTGCTGTGGAGTCCCTCAAAGGTCAAGGTATGACTCTCTCCCAATCCTCTCTGTGCATCAACGGAAGCCACGTCTATGGATCCGAGCCGGTGGGTCCCAAGGGCTCAGGCACCCTTCCATCCAAGCTGGTCCTCCTCGAGAAGTGCTCCCCTCTCTCTCGTTCGCTGCAGAACCTGACAAAGCGGAGCGAGGACAAGGGTTCCGCCGGCGAGGGCCGGCGCTGGTCCTTCGACAAGGTAAAGAAGGAAGAGAAGGATGAGGAGAAGGAGGCCGTACCTCCTGTCTCCCAGGTTCAAAGTGCTCGGGTGGGGTGTCGGCCGGTGCAGGCAGCAGCCCCGATGCTGTCTTCCACTACCACAGTGGACTCAGCAGACAAAGGGAAGAAGCTCAGAAAAACATTATTCTCTGGAGGGAGGAGTGATTCTCTACCTGCCAAGTCGGAGCTGAGCCAGGGTTCTCCTCCCCCCGAGGGGAGACTGCGAGGCTGGTTTGGCTCCAGTGACTCCCAGAACAAGCCAAGGTTAGTGGAGGGTCATTTCAGCTCTGTGTCTCCACTCTCCAGGACTTCATACAGTTTTGCTTTCCAACGAAAGCACACAATAGACATCTACATCTTGGAAGGTTTTGATTTCCTTGTGTTCAGTGTCTATGCTGCCCCCTGTTCCTTTAAAACAGAAATGTGGCAAGTTCATCCACCATTTTACAGCAATCTCATATCACCTTATGTAGGCCACAACTTAAGGTTCATACTGTCCTCATAACACAGCATAATAATTGACATCTAGGCCATTTGTATAAAAATGTACCGTACTTCCAGTCAGAAGAAAATCAAAAACTCAAAGAGTCCATGTGACTGGAGTTGGAAAGGACATTATGGCATATGTATATTTCAGTCGTAAAATTGCTTGGGGTCAAATTGAATCAGATACTGTATACATTATATTCTCAAGTACTAATGCCAGAGGATCTACCTGAGCTTAGGTTTGGTATGTTGTGGAACATTGATCTAGATGTGCACTAATCATCTGGGCCAGTATTCATAAAGTGTCTCGGAATAGGAGTGCTGAACTGGTGGGGGGGCCACCACCGTAACCTTATTCATTATGATCTAAAAGGCAAAACTGATCCTAGATCAGCACTCCTACTCTTAGATTATTTATGAATACCCAGTACACTAATCACCTGTTCTTGCTATTAGATCATTCTGCAGTACTACTGTTTCTAATCTGACAGTAATTCCTGAAATACCAAAATCAGTATATCTTGCTCTTCACCTTGCTTCAGTAATTTGCGAAATGCAGTTTTTCTTTTTGTAGTAAACTTTTGTTGCTGTTTTCCATAACCCATTATTGTTTACATTTTGTTGGCAATTGTAGCATATTCACATATGAAAATATTTTAAGATAGTCCTCAAATAGACAGTAGTTGGATGGGTTGCCTTTTTCTCTCTGTGTTAGACAAATGGAACCGATATTTTGAATGGGTCAGCTGGCGCAGAATTAACAAAGAGGACTGCTTGTGCCTTCCCTCCACAGGCTGGAAGTTTCTCCTAAGGTAGAAAGCGAATCAGACACCCCTCCTCCTCTCCCCCCTCGCTCCCCCATTCCCCCCCAGTGCTTGTCTCCCTCTGCTTATTCCACTGGCCATGCCTCGCCCGACAGTGGCCATCCAACTAACCCCTTCACCCCCTCTCCCTCTCTGACCCCTGACCCCATCTCTCCCTCCAACCCCTTCCTCCCGCGTATGCTGTGTAATCCCTTTTTTGAGGACCTCATTGCAGAAGAGACCCCCCCTCTTGCTTCCTGCTTCCCTGTCACACCCCTCTGTCATTCCACAGCTTTGCCTTGCATCCCCAGTCCTGCCCACGATCCCGCCGTGCAAATGAAAATGGCCACCATATGGCGAGACCGGCCCAGGCCTGTAGCCAGGCAGACGTCCCTCCCTGCCTTACTCCCGACAGCGGCGACGGCCAGCCCCCCCAATCCGTTTACCTCTCGCTCCATATCAGAGAATGGGGGAGGAGAATGGGACGAGTCCTTTGACGCCTTTGCCTCCAGCAGGCTGAATTCGCCAAAGGGCTCTCCTACCAATCACCCTTCAATAGCAACCACAAGGCAAGCTCAAGTAAGAAGCACTCCTCCATATGAGAGTTACACTATTCCACCCATTGAGGAGATGAGGATGAGTGAAGAAGAAGAGCCTCCACCGTTGCCTCCACGGAGGCCCATAATACGGACTCTGGTGAACGAGAGACCCTCTGACAGCTGGTTGCACAGGGGTCAGGAGCTGGCTGTACAGAAAGAGGCCTGTTTCCTGTCACAAACAGGCGCAGCTTCCCTACAGCACACAAGAGAATGGGGGCACAAGAGACACACACCAAGTCCCCACCTGTACCCAAGCCCAGGCAAAGACCTTGTCAGCAGTGACCTGTTGGACTTTCATACCGTACACTCACAACATTATGCCAACATGTCTCCAGAGTCTCCATCTCCATTCAAGTCTGAAGATGAGTTCAAGAAGTTTGACTATGAACCATTGCGAGATGAAGATGATAAAATGATATTTACTGAGCAGGACATATGGCCAGATGCAACAGATGCAACAGATTCAATAATATCATTGGCCTCAGAGGATACAATGGACGCCAGTCCCACTGTAAGAAAATATACTATTGTAAAGAACACTTCACATTCTGAACTCAAAGACTTATCTCTACCAGTAATGCTTCTTAATAGTGAAATGACTGTTGCGGATCTACTGAATATGTCTTCCCCAAAACACTCTAAATCAGGTCTTAAGACCCTAGACATTGCTTCAACTACACCAGTCCCAACATTGGACTCCTTCTCAATTCACCAAGATAAGCCCACCAAGTCCAGAAACAACAATTATGAATCACCTCCGCTAACCTTAGAAGATCTTAATAAAAACCAAAGTAACTCAGATTTTAGTTTTATTGACTCTGCTTCTGATGCTTCCCCATCTCCATCTGACATGATGACAGTGCATACCATCAAAAGTTTAGGTGGCATTTTTCCTCAACCTCCACAAGATACTCCCATCGCCATATATCATGAGCAGATCATGCTATCTGCAGAAGATATGTTAACTTTTCAGAAGCCTAGTACTATAGATGTCAACACCGCTGTAAAAGTCTCCTCGCTTTGTCAAGACACTTGTCAAGATGGAGGTTGTGAATTGAATACATTACGCAGAGATTCTGCAAGCAATACGAAGAGCAATAACATTATTACGCCTGACAGTCTTAACATAGAGCTTGAATCTGAAGACATCACTAGAGAGACTGTTGATTTAAAAGACACACAATCTCCACTGGATAGAAATGGCAACATTACAAAATCAAAGATAGACAGTTCAAAAGTAGACCCTTCATGTCATCTTAGATCTTCTCCAGTTTCAGCCCAGATGGAAATGCAACAGGAAGTGAGTCAGCCTCTGGCCAAACGAACCAATCCTGTCAATGAGTCTTCACCAAGGGGCACTAGTTCACACAGAAGTCTCAAGGGAATGATACGAGAGCTCCACGGCAACAGTGGCGCAAATAGCCCTGGCAAAGGTGAGAGCCCTCTTCACCAATCACCATCTCCTGGGCAAATAATCTCAGAGAGCATTGAAGGCATTGAAGGACCATTCTCATATCAACCCACCAAATCTCATTTTTCCTCACCTTTGTCACCGGATAGAGAGACAATGCTCAAGGCAGCTACATTATTAGTTTCCTTGCAAAAAACAAACACGAATAGTTCCACTCAGTCAATTCCAAAAGAAAACTGCTTAACGGAACATTCCTCATCCAAATATGCTGAGACGATCAGCTTCGAAGACCTCCATGCCAAAGTAGCCCCGAATGTGAGAAGCCCCATGAGTGCCAGGTTAAGGCCTGGCGTCACCGTGCATGCTTCCAACCCCTGTGCTTCCAACCCCTCCTCTACTACCCCCTCCCTGGAAACCGAAACTAATGGCCAGGCTAAGCTACCCCCCACCCATGTCCCCCCCTCCATACATCACCCCCCGACCGTGAGGCCCAGTACCGGAGCCAGTGCCACCTTGGCTGTGGCCCCCTACACCTCTTCCTCCTACTCCTCCTCTTCCTCCTACACCACTGCCCAGCCCTTGGTCGAAGCACGTCACACACTTTTGCCTGAGGAGACACAGCCAGCTAGCAGCCTGCCCCGACAGGAGAGCAGGTGAGACTTCTCCTCACACTTAAGCTCTGCAGAGTGTACCCACTCAAACTCCTCTTGAGAAAATACAAATACCAGGTTGGGTTGCCAGTTTGAGTTACCAGATTGGGTTGCTAGGTTGTAGTCAACAATGGGATGCAGAAATTAGAAATAGTTAGACATAGCTCACTTGCTGGCATAGCTTGAAAACCTGAAACTACATTTTGTTAGACTGCATTCTCATTCTTCCAAACAAAAGACATTGATTTGGTTCCTTTGATTTAATCTATTTAAGTAGCTTACTTAAGAGGTTCTCTAAATTAATCAGTATATCTCCCCTGCCAGTACCACCTGCCCATGAAAACCCATTGGTTGCTACAGTGCATTGTTTTGGGAATTGCTTAATCTTTTATGTTGCTCATCTCACTTCTGTGTTGTTAATTTGTGTCATACATTTGTGTTGCTGACTGTCCCATCACATCAAGGAGTCCACAACCACAATCAAAGTCATCATAATGAGAATCTCAGCCTAACCTTGATTAAACAACTGCTTTAGCTCTCTGTGCTGCCATTTTGACCATCTGTAAATTAAAGCAAAATGGAAGTGCCTTCCTTCACTCTCTCATTAGGTGTATGGTGAAGTTGCCTCTATATGCTGATTTCCCCCACTAATGGTTAAGGTTAGGATTGGGGGAAAGGAAGCTGTTCCTAGATCTGTACCTAGGGGAAACTTCACCTTGGAGCCTGTCATTACTGATACAGCATACCTGCTCTGTGCTATAGTAGTGCAATCAGACAACATGAGCTCTTTTTACGCTCTCTTGCTGAAACCTGTTGCTAAACACATTTTGTTATCATATAGAGAACTGATTTGAGGTCTGCATTATATACTGAAAATTCTAAATCCAGGCCAAAGCATTGTTATGAATATTCCCACATACAATGCCAGTGCCTCACATTATACTGTACTGTATATTGATTTTAATGTGAAAATTGATATGTACACAAAATCCAATGCAGTGAACCGTTGATGGTGATGTTTCCTTTGCAGCCCCCACCCAGTGAAACCCTTGACCACCACAGCCAGTCAGGGGGAGAAGAAAGAGGGCCGGTCAGTTCTGGAGAAGCTCAAGTCTTCCATCCACCCAGGCCGCGCTGCCCAGCAGACACTGGCTGTGGCTGAGACTGAGAAGAAGATTGAGGTATAAAAGGCCACAAACTTTGCGTTTAGACAGGCAGCCCCATTCTGATATTTTTTCCACTAATTGGTCTTTTGACCAATCAAATCAGATCTTTTCACATCAGGTCTTTTTCAGAGCTGATCTGATTGGTCAAAAGACCAATGAGTGAAAAAAAGATCAGAATTGGGCTGCCTGTCTAAACACAGCCCAACTATCCCTGCTGAAAAAAACTGCATAGACCAGCATAAATTTCAAGGCGGTCTATGATGGTCCATACTGGTTTATGCTGGTCCATGCTGGTCTATTGTGGTCAGTGCTGGTCTAATGCTGGTCTGACCAGCATGGTCTAACTGCTTCTTCTGGCCGACCAGCATAGTCTAGCTGGTCAAGCTGGTCTGACCAGCATGGTCTAGCTGGTTATGCTGGCATACCAGCCTTAGTTGTGTTTTTGCTGGTGATTGGCATTTGTTGTGTTGCTGGTGACTAGCCTTCACTGTGTTTTTGCTGTTGATCAGCCTTCACTGTGTTTTGGACACTGGTGACCAGCATAAGCTAAAGCAAAACCAGCATCAAGTCACATAATGCTGGCTTGCAAACTGATGTTTAAATCCTATTGGAATTCAGCCAGAGTGGATTCCCACAATCTGCATTCAGAATGACTGCCAGGGTTAGAAAGATGAATGAACGAGACTACCTAAAACAGGGCTGCCCAACCATCTTCCTGGAGATCTACCGTCCTGTGGGTTTTCAGTCCAACCCTAATTTAACACACTTGATTCTACTTATTAGCTGCTCAACAAGACCTTAACTAGCTGAATCAGATATGCTAAATTAGGGTTGGACTGAAAACCTACAGGACAGTAGATCTCCAGGAAGAGGGTTGGGCAGGCCTGACCTAAACGATTTAAACTGGAACAACCATTTCAGTAACGGGTCCAACTAACAGATTGGATTAATTTATAAAAATGTATGTTATTCATCAACACTGGCGTACCACACACCCCGCAGCCTCCGCTAGGCGGGGGGCCCATGGGGTCTTTTCTCTCAGCCTCATGGCAAAATGTGTAGAATAGCAGGAAATTATCTTTAAAACATTTAAATTAGCTCAGCCGCATTGCAAAATGTGTAGAATAGCATGAGATTAGCTATAAAACTATATATTTTTCTCTGCCCCATGGCAATATGTATAGAATTGCAGGAAATTAGCTTTAAAACAGCAACATTTTCTCTCAGCCTCATGGCAAAATGTGTTGAATAGTATGAGATTAGCTATACCTTGCTCACACCTACAGTATACCTTGCCGAGACCTTGCGGGGGGCCCCGTGAAACGGAGGTACGCCACTGTCAATCAATGTACATGCAAAAACACAGATATTGAAAGAAACAATTCAAAAAATCTAACTGTAATAGAGCATGCTGGGAAATATGCTAAAGATTTATTTGTATCAAATTAAATAATTATTGTCTTCTGTTTAATTTATACAGTGCATTCGGAAAGTATTCAGACCCCTTGACTTTTTCCACAATTTGTTACGTTACAGCCTTATTCTAAAATGGATTAAATTAATTTTTTCCCTCATCAACCTAAACTCATCAAAAAAAGAAACGTCCCTTTTTCAGGACCCTGTCTTTCAAAGATAATTCGTAAAAATCAAAATAACTTCACAGATCTTCATTGTAAAGGGTTTATACACTGTTTACCATGCTTGTTCAATGAACCATAAACAATTAATGAACATGTACCTGTGGAACGGTCGTTAAGACACTAACAGCTTACAGACGGTAGGCAATTAAGGTCACAGTTATGAAAACTTAGGACACTAAAGAGGCGTTTCTACTGACTCTGAAAAACACCAAAAGAAAGATGCCCAGGGTCCCTACTCATCTGCGTGAACGTGCCTTAGGCATGCTGCAAGGAGGCATGAGGACTGTAGATGTGGCCAGGGCAATAAATTGCAATGTCCGTACTGTGAGACGCCTAAGACAGCGCTACAGGGAGACAGGACGGACAGCTGATCGTCCTCGCAGTGGCAGACCACGTGTAACAACACCTGCACAGGATCGGTACATCTGAACATCACACCTGCGCGATAGGTACAGCATGGCAACAACAACTGCCTGAGTTACACCAGGAACGCACAATCCCTCCATCAGTGCTCAGACTGTCCGCAATAGGCTGAGAGAGGCTGGACTGAGGGCTTGTAGGCCTGTTGTAAGGCAGGTCTCTCCCCAGTCAAAACTGTTCGCTGCTCTGGCACCCCAATGGTGGAACAAGCTCCCTCACGACGCCAGGACAGCGGAGTCACTCACCACCTTCCGGAGACATTTGAAACCCCACCTCTTTAAGGAATACCTGGGATAGGATAAAGCAATCCTTCTACCCCCCCACCCCCCCCCCCCTCACACACAGCGGAGTCGCTCACCACCTTCCGGAGACATTTGAAACCCCACCTCTTTAAGGAATACCTGGGATAGGATTAAGTAATCCTTCTACCCCCCCCCCCCCCCCCCCCTCACACACAGCGGAGTCGCTCACCACCTTCCGGAGACATTTGAAACCCCACCTCTTTAAGGAATACCTGGGATAGGATAAAGTAATCCTTCTACCCCCCCCCCAAAAAAAAAAAAAAAAAAAAAAAAAAAAAAAAAAAGTAAAGTGGTTATCCCACTGGCTATAGGGTGAATGCATCAATTTGTGAGTCGCTCTGGACTAGAGCGTCTGCTAAATGACGTAAATGTGCCCTTGAGCAAGGCACTTAACCCTAATTGCTCCTGTAAGTCGCTCTGGATAAGAGCGTCTGCTAAATGACTAAAATGTAAATAAAAAATCACCTGCAACAACGTCGCCTATGGGCACAAACCCACCGTCGCTGGACCAGACAGGACTGGCAAAAAGTGCTCTTCACTGACGGGTCACGGTTTTGTCTCACCAGGGGTTATGGTCGGATTTGCGTTTATCGTCGAAGGAATGAGCATTACACCGAGGCCTGTACTCTGGAGCGGGATCGATTTGGAGGTGGAGGGTCAGTCATGGTCTGGGGCGGTGTGTCACAGCATCATCGGACTGAGCTTGTTGTCATTGCAGGCAATCTCAACGCTGTGCGTTACAGGGAAGACATCCTCCTCCCTCATGTGGTACCCTTCCTGCAGGCTCATCCTAACATGACCCTCCAGCATGACAATGCCACCAGCCATGCTGCTCGTTCTGTGTGTGATTTCCTGCAAGACAAGAATGTCAGTGTTCTGCCATGGCCAGCGAAGAGCCCAGATCTCAATCCCAATGAGCACATCTGGGACCTGTTGGATCGGAGGGTGAGGGCTAGGGCCATTCATTTACATTTACATTTTAGTCATTTAGCAGACGCTCTTATCCAGAGCGACTTACAGGAGCAATTAGGGTTAAGTGCCTTGCTCAAGGGCACATTTACGTCATTTAGCAGACGCTCTTATCCAGAGCGACTACAAATTGGTGCATTCACCCTATAGCCAGTGGGATAACCATTCCCCCCAGAAATGTCCGGGAACTTGCAGGTGCCTTGGTGGAAGAGTGGGGTAACATCTCACAGCAAGAACTGGGAAATCTGGTGCACTCCATGAGGAGGAGATGAACTGCAGTACTTAATGCAGCTGGTTGCCACACCAGATACTGACTGTGACTTTTGATTTTGACACCCCCTTTGTTCAGGGACACATTATTCAATTTCTGTTAGTCACATGTCTGTGGAACTTGTTCAGTGTATGTCTAAGTTGTTGAATCTTGTTATGTTCATACAAATATTTACACATGTTACGTTTGCTGAAAATAAACGCAGTTGACAGTGAGAGGACATTTCTTTTTTTGCTGAGTTTACATAAAATACCCCATAATGACAAAGCAAAAACAGGTTTTTTGAATTTTCTGCTAATGTATAAAGAAACAGAAATACCTTATTTACATAAGTATGCAGACCCTTTGCTATGAGACTCGAAATTGAGCTCAGGTGCATCCTGTTTCCATTGATCATCCTTGAGCTGTTTCTACAACTTGATTGCAGTCCACCTGTGGTACATTCTATTGATTGGACATGATTTGGAAAGGCACACACCTGTCTATATAAGGTCCCACAGTTGACAATGCATGTCAGAGCAAAGACCAAGCCATGAGGTCGAAGGAATTGTCCGTAGAGCTCCGAGACAGGATTGTGTCGAGGCACAGATCTGGGGAAGGGTACTAAAACATTCTACAGCATTGAAGGTCCCCAAGAACACAGCGGCCTCCATCATTCTTAAATGGAAGAAGTTTGAAACCACCAATACTTTTCCTAAAGCTGGCCGTCTGGCCAAACTGAGCAATCGGGGGATAAGGGCCTTGGTCAGGGAGGTGACCAAGAACCCGATGGTCACTCTGACAGAGCTCCAGAGTTCCTCTATGGAGATGGGAGAACCTTCCAGAAGGACAACCATCTCTGCAGCACTCCACCAAATCAGACGTTTATGGTCAGATGGAAGCTACTCCTCAGTAAAAGACACATGACAGCCCGCTTGGTTTGCTAAAAGGCACGTAAAGGACTCTGACCATGAGAAACAAGATTCTCTGGTCTGATGAAACCAAGATGGATCTCTTTGGTCTGAATGCCAAGCATCAAGTCTGGAGGAAACCTGGCACCATCCCCATGGTGAATTATGGTGGTGGCAGCAGAGCGCTCAAGACCTCCGCCTGGGGTGAAGGTTCACCTTCCAACAGGACAACGACCCTAAGCACACAGCCAAGACAACGCAGGAGTGGCTTTGGGACAATTCTCTGAATGTCCTTGAGTGGCCCAGCCAGAGCCCGGACATTGAATATCTCTGGAGAGACCTGAAAATAGCTGTACAGCGACGCTCCCCATTCAACCTGACAGAGCTTGAGAGGATCTGCAGAGAAGAATGGGAGAAACTCCCCAAATACAGGTGTGCCAAGCTTGTAGCATCATACCCAAGAAGACTCAAGGCTGTAATCGCTGCCAAAGGTGCTTCAATAAAGTTCTGAGTACAGGGTCTGAATACTTTTGTAAATGTGATATTTTTAGTAAATTAGCAAGAATTTCTACAAACCTGTTTTTGCTTTGTCATTATGGGGTATTGTCTGTAGATTGATGGGGGGGGGGGTGAAACGATTTAATCCATTTTAGAATAAGGCTCTAACGTACCAAATGTGGAAAAAGTCAAGAGGTCTGAATACTTTCCAAATGCACTGTATAACAACATTCCGACCTTGTTTAGCATTATCTAGTCCAACTATGGCATGAATCCAATATTTGTATCCGTTTGAATCACTTATTTTGAAGGCGAAACACTAATTCCACTTGTGGCTAATCCTTATTGTGGCTAGCTTCACACCGGTCTATTTGCTTAGCGGTTCATGTATTTTACTGTTAGCTGTGGCACGGCTAGTGGGGGTCATTGCGGTCGATTGTGTAGTATTGGGTAACATTTATGATTACACACACTATAGTCGGTAATCTGTTGAGATGTGTTGGACAAACATACAATTTGATGGTTTTACATGCTAGATAGCATACCTTTTGCACTATTTGTAAGTGAATAGCCTTTATTTTGGTACAGATACTAATTCATTGAATAGCAATAGCTACATATGTACAGTCGTGGTCAAAAGTTTTGAGAATTACACAAATACTAATTTTCACAAAGTCTGCTGCCTCAGTTTTGATGATGGCAATTTGCATATACTCCAGAATGTCATGAAGAGTGATCAGATGAATTGCAAAGTCTCTCTTTGCCATGAAAATGAACTTAATCCCCCAAAAAATGTGATTATCTCGTTAACACAAGTGAGAGTGTTGACAAGGACAAGGCTGGAGATCACTCTGTCATGCTGATTGAGTTAGAATAACAGACTGGAAGCTTTAAAAGGAGGGTGGTGCTTGAAATCATTGTTCTTCCTCTATTAACCATGGTTACCTGCAAGGAAACACGTGCCGTCATCATTGCTTTGCACAAAAAGGGCTTCACAGGCAAGGATATTGCTGCTAGTAAGATTGCACCTAAATCAACCATTTATCGGATCATCAAGAACTTCAAGGAGAGAGGTTCAATTGTTGTGAAGAAGGCATCAGGGCGCCCAAGAAAGTCCAGCAAGCGCCAGGACCGTCTCCTAAAGTTGATTCAGCTGCGGGATCGGGGCACCACCAGTGCAGAGCTTGCTCAGGAAAGGCAGCAGGCAGGTGTGAGTGCATCTGCACGCACAGTGAGGCGAAGACTTTTGGAGGATGGCCTGATGTCAAGAAGGGCAGCAAAGAAGCCACTTCTCTCCAGGAAAAACATCAGGGATAGACTGATATTCTGCAAAAGATACAGGGATTGGACTGCTGAGGACTGGGGTAAAGTCATTTTCTCGGATGAATCCCCTTTCCGATTGTTTGGGGATTCCGGAAAACACCTTGTCCGGAGAAGACAAGGTGAGCGCTACCATCAATCCTGTGTCATGCCAACAGTAAAGCATCCTGAGACCATTCATGTGTGGGGTTGCTTCTCAGCCAAGGGAGTGGGCTCACTCACATTTTGGCCTAAGAACACAGCCATGAATAAAGAATGGTACCAACACATCCTCTGAGAGCAACTTCTCCCAACCATCCAAGAACAGTTTGGTGACGACCAATGCCTTTTCCAGCATGATGGAGCACCTTGCCATAAGGCAAAAGTGATAACTAAGTGGCTCGGGGAACAAAACATCGAAATTTTGGGTCAATGGCCAGGAAACTCCCTAGACCTTAATCCCATTGAGAACTTGTGGTCGATCCTCAAGAGGCGGGTGGACAAACAAAACCCCACAAATTCTGACAAACTCCAAGCATTGATTATGCAAGAATGGGCTGCCATCAGTCAGGATGTGGCCCAGAAATTAATTGATAGCATGCCAGGGCGGATTGCAGCGGTCTTGAAAAAGAAGGGTCAACACTGCAAATATTGACTCTTTGCATAAACTTCATGTAATTGTCAATAAAAGCCTTTGACACTTATGGAATGCTTGTAATTATCCTTCAGTATACCATAGTAACATCGGACAAAAATATCTCATAACACTGAAGCAGCAAACTTTGTGAAGGCCAATACTTGTGTCATTCTCAAAACTTTTGACCACGACTGTACTGTTAATGCGACTGAACATAGGATATGAAAGTATGTGAATGCATTTTTTTAAAATATATATATTGATAATGACAACTGAATTTATATTCTTCTACAAAGCAATTGTAGATAGATAATTGACCCTTGACACTTTTGGATTTTTAAAAATTAAATTCTATTGAGAGAGCTTTTCCTGAAACCAGCCAACTTTCTCGTCTCATAATTTCTCTTGTTTTACAGGAAACATATCTGCTTTCCTGGTCTCAATCCTGGGACCTTTAACAAACACATCAGCATGATATGTATTTTTTATTACAGGAGATTATCTATAAAACTGCACATTTTTCTCTCTGGCCCGTATCATGTTGTTATGATAACGTTATCTGGCTTAAGGCTGGCTAATGCTACCACACATTCATGGACATTACCCTGCACATATTGTGTAGACCTGTGCTGGATTTATGGCATTTGAGCTTTTTTAATAATTGATTTTTTCTATTTTACTGATTTTGAACCCCTGCTCAGATGAAACCTGTCTCCTGGATAAAACAATTGATCAGTCACTCTCCCCCATCCTCACCTACAAGTACTCCTGGCTGGCTATATAGCATATTTGAGCCAATGCAAACACAACACTATTTATGATATCTAGTTTATTCTGTATACTGATTCGCTTTTGAAAGAAATTCTGAACATGCTGCAAAGCAATTGTGGTCCCACAAGGGACCCAGTTTATACACTGAACAAAAATATAAATGCAGCATGCAACCATTTCAAAGATTTTACTGAGTTACAGTTCATATAAAGGAAACCAGTAAATTTAAATAAATTCATTAGGCCCTAATCTTTGGATTTCACAACAGGGAATACAGATATGCATCTGTTGGTCACAGATACCTTTAGAAAACAAGGTAGGGGTGTGGATCAGAAAACTAGTCAGTATCTGGTGTGACCACCATTTGCCAGTGGCCATCGAAGGTGAGCATTTGCCCACTGAAGTCGGTTACGAAGCCGAACTGCAGTCAGGTCTACACCCTGGTGAGGACGAAAAGCAGATGAGCTTCCCTGAGTCGGTTTCTGACCATTTGTGCAGAAATTATTTGGTTGTGAAAACCCACAGTTTCCTCAGCTGTCCAGGTGGCTGGTCTCAGACGATCCCGCAGGTGAAGAAGCCGGATGTGGAGGTCCTGGGTTGGCATGGTTACACGTGGTCTGCAGTTATGCGGCCGCATGGACGTATTGCCAAATTCTCTAAAACAACATTGGCTTATGGTAGAGAAATTAACATGGAATTATTTGACAACAGTTCTGGTGGACATTCCTGCAGTCAGCATGCCAATTGCGCACTCCCTCAAAACTTGAGACATCTGTGGCATTGTGTTGTGTGACAAAACTGCACATGTTAGAGTGGTCTTTTATTGTCCCCAGCACAAGGTGCACCTGTGTAATGATCATGCTATTTAATCAGCTTCTTGATATGCCACACCTTTCAGGTGGATGGATTATCTTCGCAAAGGAGAAATGCTCTTTAACAGGGATGTAAACAAATTTGTGCACAACATTTTAGGGAAATAAGCTTTTTGTGTGTATGGAACATTTCGGGGATCTTTAATTTCACCTCATGAAATATGGGACCAACACTTCACATGCTGCGTTTATATTTTTGTTCAGTATAGAAACAGTATCCACACATTACAAATGAATCATTGAATATAATAAATGATAAAAAGTCCATGAATTCACATAATGAATGACTTTCCAAACTGGGCAGTTCAAAATTCTATGGAAAAGTTTTTGGTCAATTACCTGACAGCAATATATTTTATTAATTGAGTCCCTCCTCTTGTTAATCTATGTTTACCCATTCTATGTCACAGATCCAGTCATGTCAGGTCAGTGATTACTTCAAGACATGAATGAACGATGTATTCTCAGACAGAGGCTGTGTTTGTCTTCTCAGGAATCGTTAGCAGACAGCTCTGCGCAGTACGAGCAGCTGACCAACATGGAGCTGATTTCCCTTCTGCTGCAGCAGGAGATGGATATGGAGAAACAGCAGGTGGCCTCCGACCAGCAGGCGGCGATGCTGGAGAAACACGAGGCGGAGCTGAAGAAGATCAAGGCACAGGTGCGCGACCTAGAGGACTACATCGACAAGCTGCTGGTGCAGATCATGGAGCAGACACCCACACTCCTCCAAGTGCGCTCCCGACACAAGTGACCACTAGGGCTAGTGTGTGCACTTATAATCAGTATAATATAGGGCCATGGTCCCCATCAAACCCTGGTCCTGGAGAGCTACTAGGATGACCAGGCTATTGTTCCAGCTCAGTCCCTATAATAGTGCATTTAACTAGGTTTGGTGGTCAGTTGTTTAGCCAAATCAGGTGTTATAGTGCAGGCCTGAAACAAAAGCCTGCACATCCAAGTAGTTCTTTACGACCAGGGTTGGTTGCCAGTATTCCAGGGTCAGGTGTAGTCCACACATCCCTAAGCAAATACTAAATCTCACAACCATCCAGGTTTCACTGCTGATACCCTGCCCTGTTGATATAGACAAAATATTACCCATGTGCATGCTTACTATTGCTTATATTTGGTAGGATCAGGCCGCAAGTAATAATCAGAAACTGCAGTCATAGCAAATATTATTATTATTATTACACTCGCTACTTAGGATAAGGAAAGTGACAGCTTTTGTCAAATGTACTGCATTAGAATTCTTATAAATGTGCATTGATGAAGAAAACAGAAAATGTCTTCCTGTTCATAAAGTGTACAGTAAATGTAATATTCCGTGGTATAAATTGGTCTTACATGATTGCCTCAAATTCAGAAAACATTTAAGTGTTTGAATTAGTATGATATGGACCCAAATTATCTTCATCATGGTAAATACTGTAATTATTTGGCAAAAGACTCAAAAACACTCAAGGAGAATTCCACTGAACTAAAATGTGTTTACATGGAGAAAGATTAACTTGAGCTAGTGTCATATTGTGTAAATTATTATAAAAAAATATATAAAAATGAAAATGCATGAAAAAGACTGCGATGTCTGAAACAGACTGCTTTGAGGGAAATTCCGCTGAACTCCAATTTGTTAAAATGGAGAAAGATTAACTTGAGCTAGTGTCATATTTTGTAAATGATTATTTAAAAAAATATACAAAATTATATATATCTGAAAAGAATATATAAGAAAACATTGTGCAAATAGATAAACATTTGGTAAGAGAACAATGATTTATTCTACGAAGCTGCTGTATGAAAAGCCAAAACTAACAAGCACTTATGATTTTTCTCCTATTTAAGAAATAGAAAAACTCATTTTCATTTTGCAACATATGCAACACATTTCTCTCAACATGAATTTGAGAATGTATGCAAGTTGAAATATCCTCGGCTTTGATATAATTGACTATTCATTGATGAAGTGTGTGCAAAGAATAAAGTGACACAAATGTTCATGTGATAAGGTAGGTACTACAATGAATTCAAAGGCTTTGATTTATGCTAAGTTAGGTATATTTTCACGTTTTGGTTTCATTTGCAAAGAGAATGTATACAATTACATATATTGTTTTGGCATATTATTTTTGTATGACATTGCCAGTATTATGGTATTATTTAGTACAGTACCTCAATACAGTACTATAATGTAAATGCTATTCATGACCTAAGCACTGTAACATGTAAAATAAAGACAATTGCTCATCAAATTCATTAATTGATTCATCATTTTTTTATCCTCAAACTTGTGTACAATATACTTCTACTTAGTCCTTATGCATGAGTAGTCTAAATACTGTGAAATTCAAAGCTGCCCTTGTATTCACAGCCCAAATATAATGAAAAGAATGCTGATTACTGACAGTATAATATTATTCTGACAATTAAGTATTGCAGATGTCTTCTTTCTAATGGCAACATTACTTTCTCTCCACTACAGGGCACTGCTATCTCTGCTTAGTATTGATTTCCACTCCCCTTGTTCCATTTTGGTTTGAGGACATTATCAGAATGAATGATCAGTAGGAACATGCATGCTGTTTCACCCCATGCCCTGTGACTTCCATTTTGGTTTCCATCACAACTAGGCAGGAAAAGCTCTGAGATACAATATCATTAATTTCCTCCTGTAATTACAACATGTACAGGTAACTGCCAAAATAATGGAAATACTTGTAGAATCTATGCCAAGGTGCATTGAAGCTGTTCTGTCTCGTGGTGGCCCAATGCCCTATTACACTTTATGTTTGTGTTTCCTTTATTTTGACAGTTACCTGTATGTCTCACAGTATAAAAGAAGCCACTTAGATGTGAATTGCTGAAGAATAAAACAGGTTACACATGATCTAATATTAGTTTAGTATCAGTTTATGCATAGTACATGTTAGTTTTCTTAATTGGCTGATTGTTCCCAACTCATAGGTATCCCCACCCAGTTGACTACTTTAAAATGTTTGAAGCCCTCAGTGGCAATCTCCATGCCAAAATGGGCTATATCCATGATGAGTCCTCTCTCTATGGCAAGATATTTTTCTAGTTGCCTAAATGCCATGTGCATCAGCTTATATCAGTGCATTTGTAACAACCTAACCATTACGAAACGTATATTCGATCAAATAAGCCTCACGTACAGCAATTATATTTTTTGCTGACCAAATTCGACACACTCATTGACCTCCATACAAAATCTCTTACTTCATGGGCTTTTTTTCGGAGACACTCTTTTCACGCCATTTCGCCCTGTGGGCGGTGCTATCCACCTACATTTCAAACACTTTTAAAACACGGAAGCCAAACGCGGAAAATATGGATACAACTTCCTCTGCGCTCGTGCATGATCATAATTAATATGCGCGCCAATAGAAATCCCTAATTTAGCATGTTTCTGTGCCTATATATCCTGACAAAATACACCATATTACTGACCTGATAATGTGACTGGACCTTGTGGGCTAAACTGTCGAGAAAACCCATAAATGACCCAAATGGTTGCCCAATCAGGCAGGCTAGATGCACTTATTTCGAAATTAATATGCATTTAAAATGCCAGGCTTTTGGCCGGTTATTCAAATGACATAGGCTATTCACTGCAGTTTACAGCCTAGAATAGAGTTTTGTACTAACTTGAAAACAATAATTCTTAATTAATAATACATATTTTGTCCCTAAAAAACTGAAACAATAGCAGGAGCTTTTCGAGCTGAGTACCCAGGGACTGGGAGTGAGCACACTCAGCACAGCCTTGGGCGCGCACAGTGTAGGCTACCTATGGTTGCAGCCTGGTCTCATAGATGACATAACATAGTAAATGTAAATCCAGAACAACCAAATTAGTATGATGTTACATTTGGTATGGTTACATAAGACAGATGGTTATTTAGGTTGGGATTGATGGGTGGGCGTATAATGCGAACGTCTGTCAACCCAAAGGTTGTGAGTTCAAATCTCATCACGGACAAGTTTAGCATTTTAGCAACTTTGGCATCAGTTGCTGGGACCTCTACTATCTGTCCAGTGATCCTGCCGACCACTGAGGAGCTGCTTGGCATAGCAGCTAACCTAGCTGCTAGCTAGCTGCCTATCTAGCTAGCGGGGTTTTCTTGAGGGCTTGAACGCAGCCCGGTTAGCCATTGTGTCTTCGACCACATATTGTCCCGGGCTTGTGGCTGTCTAGATCCCTGCTGTTTGTTGTTGTTGTTTCCAATCTTCCCTGCGACCTGCCCTGTCTGGAACTGCGAGGAATAACAGCGTAACCTACGTTGCTACCATGACAAAGACCAAAGCCGGCGGGAGTACTGTTGAGGACAATGGTGTCTCTCTATCACATGTGACAGATCTTTTAAAACGAACAAAAATAGTTCTACAAGCAGTTGTTACAACAACAAGAAAATAGCTTCAAGTGTTGTGTCCAAATACTGGTGGAGTCAACTAATAAAATAATGGACGACCTGACCAGAGAAGTCGAGGACCTGAAGAACAGTTTGCTGTTCTCCCAGGGTCAGCTCGATGAGTTTAAACAGGAGAACGGCAAGATGACAGCAACCTGTAAGTCATTGAGAGAGAACATTTACATTTTAGTCATTTAGCAGACGCTCTTATCCAGAGCGACTTACAGTTAGTGAGTGCATACATTTTCAGGAGGTTTGTTTCCCCGTGGGAAACAAACCTACAACCCTGGCGTTGCAAGCGCCATGCTCTACCAACTGAGCTACAGGGGACTATGTGAATCCATGATAACAATGACGGAGAAATCAGATTATCTCGAGGGACAATCAAGGCGGAACAACAAGGCGGAACAACATGGTTGTGGACGGAATTGCAGAATCTCCACATGAGACCTGGACAGTCTGAGGACAAAGTGAGGGAAATTATCTCGGAGAAACTGAAGATGGACCACAGGAAGATTGAGGTGGAGCGCACCCACAGGACTGGAGAACCCACCACCAGCCCAGGTGACAGGCACAGGCCGATAGTGGTCAAGTTCCTGAGGTTCAAGGACAAGGTATCTGTTCTGGAAAGAGCCAAGATCTTGAGGAACGTAAATCTTCCTCAACGAGGACTATCCTGAAGCTGTGCGCCAGAAGAGGAAAGAACTTATCCCAGCCATGAAAGCTGCCTGAGCGCGTGAGGACATTGCTTACATCTGCTATGACAGGCTCATTTTCCACCCTCCCTCCCAAAAGCCTGGAAGAGATGAGAGAGCGTCAACCCCACAGCACACACACACACACACACACACACACACACACACACACACAAACTGATTAATGGACTGCTGAATGTATATATATTTTTTTAGGCCACCAAATGCTAGCAGTCAGTATCTAAATAATATGTGTGAAATGCTTGATAGTGTGTGTGATGTAAACAGAGGTCTACTTTCTTGGGGACCTGAATATTGACTGGTTTTCATCAAGCTGTCCACTCAAGAGGAAGCTTTTCACTGTAACCAGTGCCTGTAATCTGGTTCAGGTTATTACTCAATCTACCAGGGTGTTTACAAACACTACAGGAACAAGATCATCCACATGTATTGATCACATTTTTATTAATACTGTAGAACTTTGTTCTAAAGCTGTATCCGTACCCATTGGATGCAGTGATCACAATATAGTGGCTATATCCAGGAAAGCCAAAGTTCCAAAAGCTGTGTAGTGTATAAGAGCTCATGCAAAAGATTTTGCTGTGACTCTTATGTGGATGACGTTAAACATATTTGTTGGTCTGATGTGATTAATAAGGAGCATCCAGACGCTGCACTTGTCTAGGTCCAAAAGGCTTCTTTACAGATTCTACCCCCAAGCCATAAGACTTCTGAACAGCTAATCAAATGGCTACCCGGACTATTTGCATTGCCACCCCCCCCCCCCCCCCCCCCCACTCTTTTTTTTTATGCTGCTGCTACTCGCTGTTTATTATCTATGCATAGTCACTTTACCCTTACATACATGTACATATTACCTCAACTAACCTGTACCCCCTCACATTGACTCTGTACCATGTATATAGCCTCATTATTGTTATTTTATTGTTGCTCTTTAATTTTTTACTTTAGTTTATTTAGTCAATATTTTCTTAACTCTTATTTTTCTTAAAACAGCATTGTTGGTTAAGGGCTTGTAAGTAAGCATTTCACGGTAAGGTCTACACCTGTTGTATTCGGCGCATGTGACAAATACAATTTTATTATACAAGATTCTTCAAATAGCCACCCTTTGCCTTGATGACAGCTTTGCACACTCTTGGCATTGAAAAGTCATAACACATGCAGTACCAGTCAAACATTTGGACACACACACTCATTCAAGGGTTTTTCTTTATTTGTACTATTTTCTGCATTGTACAATAATAATGAAGACATCAAACCAGCCATATCGTGGATTCAGAGCTATCTAACAGAACTCAGAGGGTTTTCTTTAATGGAAGCTTCTCTAATGTCAGACATGTAAAGTGTTGTGTACCGCAGGGCAGCTCACCAGGCCCTCTACTCTTTTCTAATTTTACCAATGTCCTGTCACTGGCATTAAAACAAAGCATGTGTGTCCATCTATGCTGATGATTCAACCATATGTGACTTGTTTCAAGAAACTAGGCATATGTCGCGCATCACTACTTCACAGGAGAGGCATTTGAAAGTTTTTTTTTTATCAAGATGTGTTTTGTTTTGGCAGTAATGCCTTCTGGAACATGTGAACTTTCATGTGCCTTAATAA